CTAGTGCCGCCCCATAGGGTTTGCAAGACTGTGATGTTGATGGGATCAGACTGCTGCATCCTTTCCCACTGAGTGACTGGCTGGTGGATTCCAAAAGCTGCAGCACCAGTGCACCTTTAGCCAATCACAGCCAGCTCTAGATGGTTGAAGAGACCTCAACAAATCAGATGTATGGATGGATTGTGATAAGAGTTGTATGAGCTCCCAATAACATGATTTAAAAAAAAAAAGTTTGTGGAAAACTTCCATGATCTTTTCATTCCATTTTCCCATGAACCTTATAATCATAGGGGAACAGACCTTTTTCCGGAAAATGCAGAGGGAATCAAGTAGAGCTCCCAGGGGGCTTCAGGTTGCTGGGGTTTCTTGTTTTAATCATTTTATTGGAGGCTCATACAGTTCTTATAACAATCTATACATCCATCCATTGTGTCAAGCACATTTGTACATTTGTTGTCATCATCATTCTCAAAACATTTTCTTTCTACTTGAGCCCTCGGTATCAGCTCCTCATTTTTGTACCCTCTCTCCGCCACCCTTCCTCCCTCATGAGCCCTTGATAATTTTTTAAAATCATTTTATTGGGGGCTCGTACAATTCTTATCACAATCCATCCATCCATCCATTGTGTCATGCACATATGTACATTTGTTGCCCTCAACATTCTCAAAACATTTGCCTTCTACTTGAGCCCTTAATATCGGCTGCTCATTTTCCCCCTCCCTCATGAACCCTTCATAATTCATAAATTATTATTATTTTGTCATGTTACACTGCCCGACGTCTAATTTTTAATTGTTTTTCATGTCTTACACTGACCACTGTCTCCTTCCACCCACTTTTCTGTTGTCCGTTCCCCTGGGAGGGGTTATATGCAGATCATTGTTATCGGTCGTCGTCGCCCCCTCCAGTCTTCCCCTTCCCCTCCTGGAAGTGGCTGGTTCTATTGGGGTTCCAGACCACCACCCCCCCCAGCAGGTTAATGGGCTGCTTGCATGAAGGTCAGACCCTCTGGTTTACTGGGGGCCTAGTGAATTCTGGTGGCATTGAGTGGCTTGGATGTGTTGACAGCACACAGAAGTGAGCTGTCAAGCTGGTTCCATAAAGTAATACACCTCCCGCTCCTTCCTCTTGGGGATTTAGTTTTCGGGAGGTTATTATAGAATGGAGAGAAAGACCAGTCTTAATTGGATGTCAAAATTTAATTGGTGTCTTGGTGGCCATCTCAGAATAGTCACCAGACTTACTCATGGGAGTTGGCTGGTAGCTGTTAGGTTACCTGGCCAGGTGTGATTCTTTTCAGACTGTGTACCTCCATGGAGCTACATTTGATTTTCTGGTAGAGGGACTATCTTGTGTTTCCAGGATGTTGAGCTGTGAAGGCAGGACGCTTTATTAGCCTAGAACT